ATAGATCACTACAACCTGCAGGTTGGAAGGTGGTTACTACTCATCTTAGGATTCTTATATGAATGTCTAGATCACTACAATTTGTAGGTTGTAAGGTAATTACTATTCATCTTGGTAGTATTCTATATGAATGTCTAGATCACTACAACCAGTAGGTTGGAAGGTAGTTACTACTCATGTTTGGATTCTATATGAATGTTTAGATCACTACAACCTGTAGATTGGAAGGTAGTTAGTACTCATCTTAGGATTCTATATGAATGTCTAGATTACAACAACCTGAAGGTTGGAAGGTAGTTACTACTCATGTTTGGATTCTATATGAATGTCTAGATCACTACAACCTGCAGGTTGGAACGTGGTTACTACTCATCTTAGGATTCTATATGAATGTCCAGTACAAAATGTGCATCTCCTCTCTTTTCACAAAGTGCAACGTGACATACTCTAGTCCCAGGAATCCAACCAATGAGGAAGAGATAGAATCTTGACGAGTGTGTGATTCGCGACGTTGAACCGAGTGGCTCCCTCTTGTGTTTCTGTTCAACTGGCCGACTTCTGGTTGATTGTCTGCTCGCTCTTGGAGTCTTCCAGAGCTGATTGGATTGATATTTTAGGGTTACCATCTACGTCAATATCTTACGAGAAAGAACTGGTATGATATTAGTTACTCAAGCTTCCTAAGATAAAAACTTCTCCACACCAATCTCCTTAACGTGTTACTTATAAAGCTAGAAGTTACTTATAAAAACTGCAGCTTAAACCGCACTCTCGTGGCCAATGTTCTGATGAAAAGGAACTTCTAACAAATACCTATAGTGACATCTATAAGAACACTTAAAGTTTTCTGATGGTGGACAAATAACACTTCTTCCATGTAACTTAGCAACAGTTAGTCAATAAATTTATAGACCAGAAACTATCAATATAAATCACCTCTTTGAATATTAAATATCTGCTAATAAACTTTTCACGGATCATTCCAGGAGTTCATGTTTTTAACCTACCTCATGGGGGGTTTACAGTGAGCCTGCATTCTGTGAACTACCAGGTCGGCTATTAACCGACGGTCTTCTTCGTGACTGTCACCTAGCAACGTCATAGACGAGTCGTTCACCTGAAAGTGGAGAGAGCTTATGATATTGCTTTTACCTTGCAACGTCAAAGACGATTCCTAACCTAAAAAATGGAAAGAACTTATGAAATGGCTTTTATCTAGTAACGTCATAGACGAGTCCTAACCTGGATGATTCCAGATGTATTGTTTGTGAACGAGTAAGGAATTAGTAAAAAAATTATTAATCTATTACTGTGGAATTCCTGAAAGAGGTTATTGTATTTCTCGAACATAGGGGTGATGGGATGTGGAGGGATTATTGGATATTGTTTGGCTTGTTTTGAATTTCACCAAAATATACTCGAGGGCTATCTCAGAAATGTACTCTCTTAGAAAGATACCTTACTTCAGAAATGTACTCTCTAAGAAAGATACCTTACTTCAGAAATGTACTCTGTTAGAAAAATACCTTACTTCAGAAATGTACTCTCTTAGAAAGATATATCACTTCTAAAATGTACGCTCTAGGAAAGATACCTTACTTCAGAAATGTACTCTCTAAGAAAGATACCTTACTTCAGAAATGTACTCTCTTAGAAAGATACCTTACTTCAGAAATGTACACTCTTAGAAAGATACCTTACTTCAAAAATGTACTCTCTCAGAAAAATACCTTACTTCAGAAATGTACTGTCTTAGAAAGATACCTTACTTCAGAAATGTACTCTCTTAGAAAGATATCTTACTTCAGAAATGTACTCTCTTAGAAAGATACCTTACTTCAAAAATGTACTCTCTCAGAAAAATACCTTACTTCAGAAATGTACTGTCTCAGAAAGATATCTTACTTCAGAAATGTACTCTCTTAGAAAAATACCTAACTTCAGAAATGTACTCTTTCAGAAAAATACCTTACTTCAGAAATGTACTGTCTCAGAAAGATATATTACTTCAGAAATGTACTCTCTAAGAAAGATACCTTACTTCAGAAATGTACTCTCTTAGAAAGATACCTTACTTTCAAAACGTACTCTCTTAGAAAGATATCTTACTTCAGAAATGTACTCTCTTAGAAAGATACCTTACTTCAGAAATGTACTCTCTAAGAAAGATACCTTACTTCAGAAATGCACTCTCTTAGAAAGATACCTTACTTCAAAAATGTACTCTCTTAGAAAGATATCTTACTTCAGAAATGTACTCTTTAAGAAAGATACCTTACTTCCAAAATGTACTCTCTAAGAAAGATACCTTACTTCAGAAATGACTACTCTTAGAAAGATACCTTACTTCAGAAATGCACTCTCTTAGAAAGCTACTATACCTCAGAAATGTACTCTCTAAGAAAGATATTATACCTCAGAAATGTACTCTCTGATAAAGATACTGTACCTCAGAAATGTACTCTCTAAGAAAGATACTATACCTCAGAAACGTACTCTCTAAGAAAGATACTATACCTCAGAAATGTACTCTCTAAGAAAGATACTGTACCTCAGAAATGTACTCTCTTCCGTCTCTTCCCTGTAGAGCTTCGATGGCACACACATCCAGACCTCCGAACATTTCGGACACTTCGTCTATCCACTGCTTGTAACGGTCAGTCATCTGAATTTGTTCCAACATGGCGGAACCTATGTTGGCCTTCCAGCTTCCAGAAATAGACTTTCGCCTGAAATATAGTGTCCATCATGAAGTCACACAAATTATATCTCTTGCAAAGGACGATAATAATAAAAAAAATGTATTTCTAGATATTTCTCTGTTGTTGCATGACAGTGTTACCTTAATTGTGGTAAAATTAAATTAATAGAATACATCTAATTATTAGCCACAGCATAGTGGCTCATAGAATGGCTCTGAGTTTTATTCAAGTACAATCTTTTAGCTCATAGCTGCATCCCTTGACTGATTTGAGATCTAATTACAGCCGTGGCTATTAAGGATTCCCTCTTGTTTTATACTATGGAGCTAGCCTTTCATAATCTGTATTACCATGTAAAAACCTGAGAAGGTAGCCTTTCATAATCTGTATTACCATGTAAAAACCTGAGAGGCTAGTCTTTCATAATCTGTATTACCATATAAAAACCTGAGAGGCTAGCCTTTCATAATCTGTATTACCATATAAAAACCTGAGAGGCTAGCCTTTCATAATCTGTATTACCATATAAAAACATGAGAGGCTAGCCTTTCCCAATCTTTATTACCATATAAAAACCTGAGAGGCTAGCCTTTCATAATCTGTATTACCATATAAAAACCTGAGAGGCTAGCCTTTCATAATCTGTATTACCATGTAAAAACCTGAGAGGTTAGCTTTTCATAATCTGTATTACCATATAAAAACCTGAGAGGTTAGCCTTTCATAATCTTTATTACAATGTAAAAACCTGAAAGGTTATTATTTCATCATCTTTATTACCATGTAAAAACCTGAGAGGCTATTCTTCTACACATTTAATATTGCACAAAAATTGAATATCTCAAATAAATGATGATTTTCATCAACATCTCCATGATAGAATGAGTCCACAACTCAAAGTAACGGTTGTGGCTAGAAGAACTAACAAGTTATCTAAGAAGCTCAGTGATTCAGTTAACAGCTTCGTTACCTTGGTTATTTCTAGTTATCAAAATACTGTGGTTCTCGGTGTTTCGGTTGACAGATTTGTTTCATTGGTTATTTTATATTTATTAACAATCTGGGGTTCTCAGCACTCCGGTTTACAGATTTGTTTCATTGGTTATTTTGTATTTATTAACAA